CATTACATTAGCTGTTAATGTCAACATGTTAATGTTAGCATGTTAATGTCAACAGACAAAAGTTGCTGTCTACTTTTTCAACTGAAGTCAAGTGAGGCCATAGTGAAGCAGCTCTCTAGGTTTTGGAACAGGGCTATAGCCTTAATTCAGTTTTGCTTATGTATGAAACAAAATGTCTCAAGCAGTTTTACATCAGTCTGCAAGTGTGAACTCTATCCTAAGATTTAAAAAAAAATTTTTTTTTTACATACATTTGTATTTTATATTTGTATTCTGGTATAAGATATTATGCTTGGAATGTACAGTAAAAATGGCATTTGTTATGTACGGTATTATAAAATCCCATTCTGCAGATCATCTTTGGAAACATGCTTACAGAAACACAGAACGTTTCCGATAACTCATCTATATAATCCTGCAATAAATGTTTTACAGTACATTGTTGCTGAGTTAATATGTTATTATAAAAGGAAGCAAGAAGGGTCATCATTTTACCGCTTTGTGTACATTGAGCTGATGCCAATCTAAGTATGTAGCCAATTTCTCTTAAGTGGTTCCATTTTGCCCAATTTGGGAGGAGCGTCTCAGCTGATCTCCATCATTCAAATGACATGTTTTCTTAAACAAAAACGGCAACATATGTGCAAAGACTACGTTAATAAGTGCCATTACTACACTCAATTACCTTATTTGGGGATGTTTAGGTGCTTCCTGTTTGTTTGAACACTGGAGTATTTTGGTTCACTTGGTTTTCTATTTGATCTTGAACATTTGCAGTGCTTCTTTAATGAATGTGAATATTGTGCTGGATAACTCAGTCAGAACAATAGGCCTACCTCAGAGAAAATGTCTAGCCTTTCTCATTTACGTTTCTTCAAAAGATGGGGTGAAACCAGCCCTTAACAAAAGCTTCTTTTTCGGGAAGGTAGTGTTTCACATCCCTTCACAATGTCTGGCTTTTGTGTACATCCAGACCATCCTTGATCAATGATAAACTCCCAAAGCATTCTGGAACTTGACATATTGTCTCACAATTAGCAGTCCAGCACAATATCCACACTTGTGTGATATTGCTTAATCAGATTATATTTTCCTTACAAAACTGCATGCTTCGTGTAAAGCAATAGAGTGCAACAGTCAGGCTCCGGAAGTAAAAATCCCATTCTTTTTTCTCTATAAACACTCTTAGGTACAAAACTGTCCCTGGGATGGTACTTTTTACTAATATGTACATTTACAGTACTTTTATATACTATGTAACATTTAGGGGTAAGTTGCAAAGACGTACCTTTTAGCTTTTGTACCTTACCGCACCAGTGACAGATTTGTACCTATTTTTCTGAGGGTGTAGGGGAATTGATTTTAAATTATAATTTACAAAACACAAACCTACTGTGAGCTACGAGGTTATATGCATTTGTTGAAGCCATTAGTCCACATGATTGCAATCATTTTTTAAATAATTGTGTTCAACAGTGAAATTCCTGTTGAAAAATGACATTACCCATAATTCAGCAGAGAAATCTCCACTAATCAGAGAATCATGACAAGCAAATTGATGTAGAGTCGGTATCCCTACTCTTTCAAAAACTACTGAAATATTTTAATGTATGTTATGCATATTTTGAAATAAACAATATATTATACAAAATAATCAGTTTTATATTTTTTTCTGATGTTTTTGAATCCATTAGGCCTATGTAATTTGTAGTGCTGTTAATGACACAATTTTGAACCGTTGTCTTTTTGTCTGATTTTCAAACACTTTTTTGCTTCAAATCAAAGTTGTGGCTTATAAAGGCTTATAACTATTTTTTTTTTTTTAAATCCCTAAGGTAAAAATTTATTGGACAAACACTTCCGGAACCAAGGGTGTTGTAAAAGTCAGTGGGCACTAACGCACTCTATACTGCCTTTATAAACTATCAAGACACCTGCTGTTTTAGAGCTATTGTCTGCCCCATTCACCAGTCAAAGTTAGCTCTAATGAGAGACCGAGTCTCTCTGTATCATTGTCTCCAGTGCAGCTGTCTTGTTGCAATGACATCTAACATGACATAAGCTCCCAGCTCCTTCGTTAGCTCAGGATCAGGGTACTGACCTTTGACACCCTTTTTGTGTCCCTAAAGCAGCTCATTTTGTCAGAATGTGCTTCTTGGCTACAGTGAGAAATGAGAGTTTTATGCATGAATGCACACTGGAATTACAGGTATGTGCTGTGTGAGCAAAGTTATGCGCCATGTTCGTCTTCAAGAGGCGTATTGTTAATAAACGACTTAATGTCTGCTGCTGGAATAAACTTTTGGCACTATCGTTTTAAGGACCACCAATAATGTGATTTCATGTACAGGTGCTAAAGCTAGTTCTGGAGCCATGTGATAATGCCAGTCAGTGTCTTTGAGGACTCTAGTTCTTGCTTTGTTGGCAAGGACTCTCTAGCACAACAGAATTAAAAGGGCAGATTTATAGCACAAGTTTATCTTATCCAAAATTAACCCTCCAGGTAACCTCAAAAAGAAAGGCCTCTTGTTTCAGACGTAACGTTCACTAATGAGAGAGCTGTTGCACTGTGGGTTACGTTTAATCCTATTTATCGCTGCGTGATAGCTACATGCTCGGATAAATCGAGCAGGCTTATGCCTATGTTAGGGATTCTTAAATGCCTATTTTTGTCAAGGTTTTCATTGGTCATTAGTCATGAGTGTATGTCTTTTAAACAAGGGTGAGGAATTTGGAGCAGTTACAGTCATTCTGGAAATGGAAAATAAATAAATGTACTTTATATATTATTATTAAATAAAACATATGTACAGACCTTCAGCACCAACACACACATACATACACTACCGTTTGGGGTCGACAAGTCTTTTAACAAGCCTGCATTTATTCAAAAATACTCTCTCTATCTATCTATCAGTGCACAAATGATTAATTTAGGCTAATGATAATCAGTCTGGATTGTTGCTGTTGTTCGAGTGCCCCCTGCTGGCAACAATGTTATATGGCCACCTCAATTCAAAACAGTTGCTTTAGCGGAAATGATTTCCTAGTCAACATCAACATTAAACATCAAATAGCATGAGATTGCCACATCATATCTAGTTAGGACAAGGGGTAAAAAGTCTACATGATGCATTTTGTTTTACATCCTCTGAAGAAGTTTTCCTTTAAAAACTGAAATTGATAACCCAGTATTATTTCCATGTTTCATACTGTTCATACTCAACTGGAACACTTTATACCTTTGGAACCAATTTAGAATCAGTTACACTTCTACCAGTTCATGGAGCTGTTCTGGAGCAACACTTCAATAATGCTGTTCACTGTTAAACTCAGTGAAAGCCCCTTTCAGAATTAATATTAACAATATTAAAAGGCAGCTAAATGTAAATGTACAGGATTCAAAAGAAGCTCTACAAAGACCATAAAATGTTATGCAAAGCAGGCAAATCCATTCTTGTGAAATAGCCCCTCCTGTAGTTCCACTATAAAGAGCTCAAATTATACAAAAAGCAATACATTTGGATGTAAGTGCTGCACTTTTTTAATAAACTCATACTTCAGGTCACGTTCTGTACAGATTACAGAATATTACTTACATCCATGTCGGATGATACAATCAGTGATTCTGCAAGGCACGTTAGATAACCGAAAACTCTTGAGGAGATGCAACGAATGACGGGACATGAATGTAATGCAGTGTACTGAATATTGCATTCTCAATCAGCCAGAAAACTGACTTTGTCTAATATCCAAATTTTCCAGGTTTTCAAAACCAAAAATATATAGTGCTACATTTCCTACCTGAAGAAACCCACATGATAATAACTGGGTAATTATAACCAATCCTGGCCGAAACAAATATAAAAGAAGTGAAAAATATATGTTAGAGGAAAAACAAGTGTAACAAGAACAATGACCAGTTAATATAAGGGTGTAAAAGGGTCAAGTTTTGATTAGCACTTCAGTGCAAGAGGAAATATACTGCACCTCACTTCCCTCAGGTTACAACACACATAAGGCAATGCAGAACACGCTTTAGGAAGGCCACTAGGCAATGCTCCAAACTGCATCTTCACACTGATCAGAAGTCGCATTACTATTAAATCAGACACAAGGAAACTGGTCTCACATCTGTGGAAGCTTATTTCTGCGACAGAATTAAAAAAAAAAGAGTTAAAGTTACCTGCAAATTATCATTTTACAATTCAGACTTTTCGAGCGTTATAAGTTCACAATGGTGAGTAAACATCTGGCAACCAACTTTTTATTTATATATTTTTTGAGTTTCTATCTCATAAATCTGACTTTTTCCTCACAGTTCTGAATTGCAAGATATAAACACAGAACTCAGAAAAAAGGTAATTGCGACTCTCTCATATAATTCTGACCTTTTTCTCACAATCAAGATTTATAAAGTTATGATTCAACTTTTTTCTCACAATTCTAAGTTTATATCTCAAAATTCTGACTTTTCGCACAGTTCTGAAGTCAGAATTGAGAGGTATCAAAATCTGAGAAAAAAGTCTGAATTGTGAGATATAAACTCACAACAGAGACAAAAAAAACTCAATTTTTATATATTTTTTAAAAAGGTAATTGTGACTATCTCATAATTCTGACTTTTCTCTCAACTGATTTATAAAAAGTTATAAAACAAATTTTAAGTTTACATCTCACAATTGACTTCTTTCTAACAATTGCGAGTTTATATCACTTGACTTTCCTGCAATTTTGAAGTCAAAATATAAACTGTGAGATATAAACTCTTCAAAATTCTGACAAAGTCAATAGCAAGTCTGAACTTTCGGATAAAAAGTCACAATTATATTTTTTTTTAATAAAAAAGATAATTATGGTAATTATTATCTCACAAATCAGACATTTTACTCGCAATTATAAGTTAATATCTTGCAATTCCGACTTTTTTCCTCCAAATTATGAGTTTATATCTCACATTTCTGAGAATTTCTCAGAACTGTAAGGAAAGAAAAGTCAGAATTGTAAGATAAAAGATCGCAATTACCTTTTTTATTGTGATGGAAATAAACTTCCTTACAGATCAGTGTGAAAGAGCAACATCTACCAGCAACAAGGTTTCTTATTAGTGGTAGCAGATACTGCCAATAAACATCCCAGAAGAACGCAACTGCTTTCCACAGCAATATACGATCCTTCTATCACAGGTCTTGAAAATCACAATTGTCAAATCGGAAAAATCTGGTTGTGTTAATATGGCACAACATATAAAAATAAGGATGATGGCCAGGAAGTGGTATCCATACAGTATCCAAACTCCAGCATTGTCAGATTAGATGGACAGCAATATGGACCACCAGTGGCCCATGTGATTATCTCAAGTGGTGATTGGCTAAAGCACACTGCGAGTCCGTGACATCAAGACGACAAGCCGTCCTGGTCCATACTGCTTCCTAACGCTTCAATGTCATTGCTTATGTCTGAAATCATGCGGTCCCATTCGTCGCCCTCAGAGGTGGCCGTTCCTTCACCCGAACCACCCGCAGCACCGTTTCCATTAGTGGTGGAGTCTGACGCAGAGCTTGTCGTGCGTTTGTAACGCCCAAAGCTGTCCGTTATGATGCCGCGGCCGTCCTTCACACCGATGGTTTCCAAAAAGTTCTCAAAGTGCTGGCTGTCCTTCTCAGGAATGAAAGGCCGCAGTCCTGGGGTGGAGAAAACTGAAGTGAATTCAACAAATAAAGAAATTCTCTAACATATGTCCATAAGAACAAATGTGAGGCTTGATGAGAGTTTGATGTACCATTTAAACATTCTGTAAGTTAAACATTCAGAAGCGAACAAGCAGCTGTTTTTTTTTTTTTTGGAAAGTTGTAGGTCCCTGACAACAACAGTCTGACCATAATTTGTGACGCAAATTTCAGCACGGATCGTTTGAACCTGTCAGAATGTCTCACAGGTTTTTAGCAAGGCGGCCGTTATTGAAGAATGGAGTTAGCAGCAGCAAACTCTCAAACTGCTGGTTCATTTTAACCAGTGTTAATTTAGTATTATTTAAATACTATTATGGTATTTATTAATTTTGATTATAGTGTTTATTATAGTTTATTATAATATTATAGTATAGTATTTTTTTTTAGTATAGTACATTTTTATTTTCAGTAATTTTAATTTCAGTTTGAGTAAATTTGTTATGTTCCTTGTCATTTTTAATTAGTTTTTGTTTTTTAATATTTATATTTAGCTTTAAAGGGGTCATGAACTGAGAAATCTAATTTCCCTTGATCTTTTAACATATAACAGGTCAATGTAGGGCTGCACAATTAATCGAATTTCTAATCGCAATTACAATTATGGATGCCACAATTACGTAATCGTTCAAAGCGGCAATTAATCGTTCAAAGTCCACTTATGTATTCTGCACGCTTAAGATATGTTTTTTTCTTTCTACATGTTATCTTAAGGGTTTTTCCATTGTTTTAGTTTTAGTATAACATTATAAACATTCATATTTTTACTTTTTTTATAATTTAAAGAAGAAACAAATCCGATGTATAGTTGACATTTGAGGCTTAATACTATAGAAAAGCACTAAAGGTTTTTCAATTTTCAGCTTGTTTATTTTCATATAAAAATACGGCATGCAGTTGCATCAAACAATGGTATAAACATCATTCAATGTAAATTGGGATAATCGTAGTTAATAATCGCAATTACAATTTCAAGGCAATAATCGACAATTATGATTTTTGTCATAACCGTGCAGCCCTAAAGACAGGTCATTATAAATATGAGAAAACAGGTAAACAATCAAAGGCCTCATGTGAGATTTTATAAGAAAAACATTTAAATTAAATTCA